TTTAAATTTTTTGAAGATCAAAGTTGACTGGAAAGCAAAAAGCCAGAAAAGCTTCACAAGTGAGACATACTAGAGAAGAAACTGTTAGCATTTGTAACAGATTTGATCTAGATATTTATATCACCTTGGTATGAAGGATGTTGCAAATATTAAACTTTTTTAGTCTTTACTTAAATAATTTTTCTTGCTTTATTCAAATTTCTTTAAAATTGTTTTTTGTAGATAGCTTGTGATACCCTCTAAGTTTTTGGACAAGATAATTTCTTGGTTACCAATCATCTCACTGTATTTTACACAAAAATTTATCTATTTTTTTTTTATTTTTATTTTTTTTTTATTTTTTTATTTTTTACTGTATACAACTGATCATTAAAAATAATTTTATTTTGCTGACAATGATTATACAATAATTGGCAAGAATGCCCAAAAAACAGAATTGACAAATTTTCCAATAAACAGTAAAAAAAGAATAAGATTATCCTCATCTTCATTGCCATATTCACAATGTTTTGGCTGTTGTACACTCTGACCTTCTTCAGGTGATTGGAATTTCAAATCAAAGCCTTTATTTCATCCACTGAGGTAGATTGTTCTAACTGGCCCAGTGGATAAAGTTAGATCCAGCAACTAGCAAAGGGTTGTGAGTTCAATACCAGGCTACAGCAGTGGTGGACCAAAACTTGATGAAACCAAGAAGTGGTCACTTTTATTGGTTAGGAAGAAATATCAGCATGCATCTGTATGATTTGTCTATAAATTTGGAGAGAGATTTTTTTTTTTTCTCTCTCAATCATTCTGACATTGGTTGGAACCAACAATGATTTTTTTTGACATTGATTAACCTTTGCACCTGCAAAAAAAAAAAAAAGTGTCAAAAGGATGGTTAGTCCTTTGATATTGCTATTACTGTATATACTTTTTACTCTCTTGGCAATGTTTGTTTTTAAAAAGTGATGAATAGAATTTTAATAAAACCCAAACATATGAAGGTGGATTTATACATTTTCTTTATTCTTGAAACTTGATAACAAAGATATTAAACACTTATTTATTTATTAGATTGCTTATTTACAAGAATAATTTCATATTTACAAGATAATAAAAATATGTGAACCAAATATAATGAAATATTATTTACCATTTTATAAAGAAAGTTTAAATAAACACTTAACAACAATGGTAAGTATAAATTTTGAAAAAATGCATTTTCCGGGCATTTCTTTCAATTGCTCTTGCCGCATAAATTCACTCAAATAGATTGAGAGCATCTCTTCCTCTTACATATTTTGATAAACTTTTTTTATGAATTTTTTTAATAAAAAGATTTTTTTTTTCAAATTTATTTCTTTATATAATTGTAAATAATAAATCTTTTATAAAAGATAAGTAATAAATATTGCATTGTACTTGGTTCACATATTTTTATCTCATAATTTCTAGGTTAATGTCATAAAGACATCAAACTGCTCGGATGAAACTTCTGACCTCTCTGCTTTCAATCTCTCTCTCTCTTACACTTGCTCACACACACTATAATGTTTGGTCATGGTAAATAAGCTTTTTACAGGCTAATTCTTTTATTCGGTTAATGTCTGTAACATCTGGTCTTAAAAATTGCACATTATCTAACGGTATAAATAAAATTTGAGATATCTCACAAACTAGTTGGTGTTTTCAATGACTTGTAAATATATATTTCTTTAAGCATTTCTATAATTTATTTTAAAACTAATATTCGCATCATGAAGTCTAAACCCTGACTACTTGTTGATACACTATTACTAGATGTTTTGGATAAATTTCAATTTTCAGAATATCTTTTTGTAACAACAAACCAGAAGTTAAGAGCAGTAAATGGTTTGCTTAGTTGTTCATATTAACAAACCTTATTCTATTTACATGTTAGGTTGTGTAATTCTTTTTGGTGATTAAGCACAAGAGAATTATACTAATACAGTTGCTAAATGGTATGATTCTACTACAGAGTTGTTGTATTAAAATATCTATAGTGTATTTGGTCAATGTATTACTGTCGTATGAACATTATCTAATGTTAAAAAATTTGTAATATGGGATCTTTACAATCTTTCATATGGACTTGATAGATTTTTGTCTGTCTTTTTTACAATTAGGAAAAATGAACCAATTTGCATTGAGTCACCGTTTAAACAATTTTTTTATTTTTTTTATTTTTCTTATTTTTTTTTTTTTTTTTTTTTAAATTAATAGTAGCAAAAGTATCAATTTGTATATGTTCTTGACATTTTAACATTTTTATTAATTTTTAATCTTGTAATGAGACTTAATAATTTTAAGTTGTTTGAATTTCTAAAATGAAACATTTTCATTATTACTTTTTGATTACTTTTCTATTCATCATGTTTCTGTTGCTATTTATTGTAACATTAAAGTTTATTAGCTATTTCCATTTAAGTAAATACTATAGATTGGAAAATAAATGTTATGTCTAAAACTGCTATTGCTGTTAGGTGTTAGCAAGCAATATAAAATTTTGTGGGGGTGTCACATCTGATAAGGATTAATGTAGCAATGTGACAAAGCTTGAATGATGTTTACTGGCTGGCTTCTGTAGCTTAATTGGTAAGCCATTATCCATGTTGGACAGGCTCCCAAGAACTGATATATCATTGGAAGTTAATTATTTATTTTTTTGATTAATGTTTCTTAATGATTGTAGAATATTCAAGAATTGTGATTTTTTTTTTTTTTTTTTTTTTAAAAACCAAAAAAAAACCACCATAAGATGAAAAAAACAATTGGCCAAAAATGAATTCTGTTTCAGAATGTTGCACAAATTAAGAAGTTTTGAACCAGAAGCTTGCTAACAGCGAGAGGATAAAATTTCAAACCTATTTGCGTGTGTGTGTGTTCCCCACCCCATTTAAAATACTATATTTATTAGAATATATATTCAGTTTAAATAAAGGCATTGTAGATATGCCCCCACCCCCACACATATATGATAAAAATATAGTTTAAGGTATACTATATTTATGGGTTAAAGTGCTCAATATCAGTGATAGTGTATTAAAAGTGAACATTGAAGTCAGCACTAAATGACAAGTCTGTTTAAGCATGCAACACTGTTGCCACTGGGTGTCAATGTCTACTAAAATAAATATAATATATATAATTCAATGACGGACCTTTTGAGGGGGCAGCTGAGGGTAGGTGTTGTCCAGACTGAGTGATAGAGTAATGTATTATTCCTGTCATGTTTTCAAACTTGGTCATATTGTATATGTGTGTTTTGTAGATTTTAAAAATTTATTTGGTATTTGTGATGTCTTCCTTATTGGTATTCTAAAGTAATGAAATAGGAAATGCCATGTAATAAATCTACAGACAAGGATTTTCATTTGGTTGAATTCACAAAGTACCACATTTCCTGTCATATAAGTTGTACAATTTTTTTTTTATTCCCCCCCCCAAAAAAAAATCTCCCTCCATTTTATACCTTGATGATTAACTTACTGCATCTAAAACCCCTGATGACTCCAGAAAGAAATATATATGATTATAAATGATTGAATTATGATTACAAGTCAAAATGTTTTAAAACATATATATAAAGCATGGATTAATTATCATTTGAATATTATTACTTTTTTTTCTTAAATAATGTTCCTTGTCAGATTATGAACATGTATTATATGACTGGGAATTATGCTAACTTAAATTTTAATTTACCGCAAATACATACATTGAGTGGCAAAAATGTTAATGGGTTCAAGTTTACTGTCAGTGTAGCCAAGAAATTTGAGAAGCTGTTTTTAAAAAGGAACTAATTGGTTTGTCAGTCTGTTTTAATTTTGCTGCTATTTGTGGTTTTCAATTATATATTTTTTATTATACTGTATGCATCTGTAGATATAGGATCAAGTCTTGTTTGCTCTTGGAATCAAAATTACAATTTTTAGAAATATATTTTATTTTATTAGCAAAATGCTACAAAGTGATATCTAAACTGCAATATGCCAAACTTTGCAGCAGATATTTGCAAACAACACTGTTAATTGCAGTTTAGAACAAATATGGAAATTTATAACAGTTCAGGGATACAAAATTGTACATTTTAAGAGAAGCACTAGTGACTGATGAACAATCACGTTGTGAAGATAAATACTCAGTTGTGGAACAAGCTGAGTGAATTGACCCCCCCCCCTTGAGAAAGAGAGCTATTTATGGTGCCATGGAGCATCTCATTGTGCTAAAGTGGGATAGTCCATTGCTTGGGCTGTGATTGGCTGCTGGTACATGAGTGGAGGTATTTCTTTATAAATACCAGCTTGATTCCAGTCAGTTTGCGGGGTTTGTATTGAGTTACAACCTGCTTTGTTTGTTTGGATGCTAGCTGGGACCCTTATGCCAGTAAGTGCTGTTTATTCTATTGTTATTCTACAGTGACAGCATCAAAAGCCATGCTCAAGAAAGAAAAAGCAAAATGAAGTGGATGACAATGAAATTTTCATTTCAATTAAAGCAAAACATTAAATAATGCCCAGAAATTGTGCAGAACATGAGATTAAGGAAAAACATCAGAAATAAGTGAAAGCATGCAAAAAAAATGAAATTTAGCTTAATGAAAAATATGCACAGATCAAAACACTGAAGAACATAGACATAGTAGGTATGCACAAAAAAATAAAAATAAGTAGCAGGACAGAAAATGTGCTCTTTGGCAGGATGTATATTGATTGATTTAATTTTTTTATGGTTTATCAACCTTTTGCAGCTTATTTAAAGCCAGAAACTATTTTTTAGATTATAAGATTTTTTTTTTTTTTTTTTTTTTTTTTTTTGAGATATTAGTGATTTATTGATAAAACTCCTACTAATTAACTCATACCTGGGGGAGAAGAGTTCAAACCTTACGCAAATGTATTTGTGTATAAGTGAATATAATGAACATAATTGGAACTCAGTTCTCCCAGTTCCTATTCAGAGCTGTTATCTATTACATCACCTGTACATTCAAGCTTACAGCACCTGATATTGCCAAGTGATCACCTATCTAGGTACTGACGAAGTTTGACGTTGCTTAACTTCAGTAATCATACGAGAACTGGTGTTTCAATGTGATATGGCCATGAGCTTTGCAGGATTTATAAAATCTAGATAGAACAAGCATAACGAAAAGTAAACCTACTAAAAGACAATAAATGCATCAGAAATCTCTTTTCAACAAAAGAGAAAAACCTATAATACATAAAAACATGGAGCCTGTAATACTAAAATCTGAGATTTGCTCAACACTAGAGAGGATGAAGAGAAATTAAACAGTAAGGTCTAATGAGATTGTAATAGAGATGTTGATAGCTTCAGAGGATTTGGGAATTTATAAAGTGATTGAATTAATAAATGGACTCTGACAGCAGTAAAATATCAGAAAACCTTAAATCAATTTTCATAGTATTGCCAAAAAACAAACAGGTGCAAATGAATGCCAACTCCTTTGAACAATCAGCTTGATGAACCGCATAACAAAATTCGGATGCTTATAGTAGAATTAGACTGGAATTTATAAGTTTATCATTCACCCATGCATTGAATATTGCTGCCACATCTGGTCTGGTGCTTCTGCTATATATTTAGAGATTCTTGATAAAATCCAACCTGGCATCTTGGCTTCACTCACTTTGCTGCTGCCTAATGTAATTTCAATGTGCCTTTTCCATAAATATTTTCATGGTAATTGTACTGTAACTTTACAAATTTAAGTGCAATACTAGTTTGGCAGCTAGGTCTCATCATTTTACAGTTGAAATGACTAGATCTAAATGTTCAATGCTAATAGTTTCTTCTCTCACGCTTTTTGTTTGTGGAATTTTCTCCCAGTTTCTTACTTTCAAGTTAGCTTTGATCTTCAAAAATTTAAATGCAATGTCAATTATTATCTTCTGTCTTAATTCCTGTTTTTTTTATTTGTTGTTCTCTCTCTGTAATGTTTTTCTTATTTTCATATTCTTTCACACTCACTAACTCCTTGCATCTTAGTGGCTTTATTGCCTTGGTTGGAGGTGAAATGATTAAACAAAAATAGGGCAAGAACAATACTGCTTTGTTTAAGATACTGAAACAAGAAATGCAATTTTCATGATAAAATGCTATTACAGCAAGCAATAAAAGTGAACAAGGATCTATACTGTTTTTCATAGATTATAAAAAAAGAATTCAAGAAGTATGATGTGAAAAATTCCTTGAAATGTCAGTTTGAGCTCTATGGAAGAAATATTCAGATAGAGAATAAGTTAAATGATTACAGAAAAAAAATATAAATATATATCAGAGGGTATGACTAGAAAGTATTCTTATCAGATTAATTTAACCTGTATAGAAGAGTAGAAGGCCTATCGGGATTTGTTGTTGATTAATGTAACTATAACAACATATGCTACATAAACAACACTATTAATGGCAGATTCTGAAGTGAAACTAAAAAAACAAGGCAATGAAAGCAAGAAATAACTAATAATTATAAGGAAACAATGGATGGTTGTAGCAAAAAGGGATAACCCAAGTTGTGGGTTATGTATCAGAGAGGTAAACAAAATGAAGCAGATACTAAAATTTAACTTAATTTATAATAATGGACAATTGAAGGATTGACAAGGAAGTATGAAACTGCATAGGAATAGTGAAATAGACTTTTCAAATATTGAGCAAGGTATTAAAAGAATGAAGAATATCATTATAAACAAAACGGTGCCAGACTATGTAATGCTTAATCACCTATATAGCAATGAATACTGGACAGTTTTACCAGATAAAGAAAACACATGATATTACAGAAATGTAGTTCTATAAATGAATCTCTAAAAGTCTACAAACTGTGTAAATCAGAAATTAAATTTTAAGATTAGGAACTACAAAGAAACTACTGTTTACACTATTTACATTGTTTGGACTGTTGTCCTCGTCTTTGTTACTATATTTACAATGTTTTAGCCATTGTGCACCCTGTCCTTGTTCAGGTGAAATTAATTGGAATTTTGAACTGAACCCTTTATTTAGTCCATGGGGGCAGATAATTCTAATTCCACATGTTATGCCTTTGGATATATCAGTTTGAGTTAGTTTCTCTTAGTGACTTAACACTTTGTTTTTGTTCCCTTTTGCTGTAGCCAGGTATTGAACTTGCAACTCTTTGGGTCATGTCACTTTTTGGATCACTCAACCAATGTTTTATCCACTGGGCCATATGTCTAATATCACCTGAAGGCTGGAGTGTACAATGGCCAAAACATTGTGAATATTGCAATAAAGATGAGGACAACAGTCCAAAAAATGTAAATAGTTACAATACCTCATCTCAGAAATATAAACAGATGTTTATGAAACTGTTGTTAACACTATTAAAGAGAACTAAAATGTTTAGGTTACATGAGGAAAGAAGGTTTGGAGAATTTAATACTCATACTAAAGGCAAGAGAAGCAAGGGAAAATATTGAGTAACCTACTTGGCAAGTTTTATTACCTATATAGCAGAACCATTACAAAGACAAATGTGTTATAAAGTAGTAAAAATTATTTTGAACAATATAAGACAAGAACTTATGGAGAGCCATGTAATTTAGTCAATTGATTTTTTTTATTTCAACAGAATAATTTTGATTTCATTATTAAAATAATTAAATGAAGAAAAAGAAACTCATAGAATGTCTTACATTCTTACATATAATTTATTGTATCCTTAAAGAGATTACAAATAGACAAAGGTGGTACTCAAGTGAAGGAACAGTAACATGCATATAGATGAAAGAAGAGAGATTTATTGTAAAAGAGAATAAACTACTGAAAAACAGGGAATCCGGTGGCAGGCTAGGAATTCCTGAAGCAAGCCCCCAGGTATATCCTGTGCTCACTATATATAGCTACTGATATAGTCAATTCACATAGGTGATAGGGAGTGTGGGACATTCCATTACAACATAATCCTATGTGTAAAATTTCATAAGTTAATTCTTAATGTTTCAACATACTCTCCTAAAAATACAAAGACATTTACTTTGAGTTAATCTTTACAGTAAAAATAATTTCTATTAATTGGTAAGTTTCATATTATTAGCTTTTAATAAGTGTAAGATGAGAAAATTAATTCATTAATTTTCCTTGAAGTAAAATCTATATTGAGTGCAAGTAAAATGATCAGCTCCCTGTACTGCTCCAGTAAGTACCTGACTCCTCATGCTATCCTCTATCTTCATAAGAACCAGATCGGGCCGAATATGAAGTACTGTTGCCACATTTATGTAGGAACTGCCCAGTCCTCACAGAGTTCAAAAGCATTTCCAAGTCCTTGTTGGAGAAGAATTAATTTTCACCCTCCAACCTCTCTTTCTCACCGGCAGGATGTGGTGAATTTCTCACTGCTTTATCACTGCTTCCATGGAAAGTGCTTGGATGAACTATATTCCTTGGTTCCGCCAGGTCTAACCTTCGTGGCTAGAACCAGGCCATGCCACTTACATAGTAGCAAACCACACACATTCCCTCTGTATTCCACTCAAGAAGTTCCACTCAAACAGCTTCTTCCTGTGAACCACCACGCTGTAGAACAGACTCCCAAGAGAATGTTTCCCTGGTTATGACAATATTAACCTGTTCAAGTCTAGAGTAAACCATCATCTTCCCCCTCCTACCCCTTAATGTAACCTTCTGCCTGGAGTGGATAGGGTGATCCTTACTGTAAAAATAAAGTACTTTTAGGTGAACTTGATTTTTTTAGAACCATTTATTTTTTGTGGTTAAGTAATTGAAGACATTACTGTTAAAAGTTCTTGGGTATAATGACTCAAATACTGATAATTTAAGATACAGCATAGTAATATTATAAATTATAATGGAGAAAGGATAAATATGAAAATGACAAGCTTTGTTTTTTTTGTTTTTTTTTTGTTTCGTTTTTGTTTTTTTTTTTTTTGTTTTGTTTTGTTTTTTTGTTTCTGTTTTTTTGTTTTTTTTTTTGTTTCGTTTTTTTTTTTTTTTTTTTTTTTTGTTTCGTTTTTTTTTTTTGTTTTTTTTTGTTTTTTTTTTTTTTGTTTTTTGTTTTGTTTTTTTTTTTTTTTTTGTTTTTTTTATAAGGCTACTAAAATAGATCATTCACCAAAGTTTGAATATTTTCTCTTAGTATTTGTGGATGCTCCCCCCCCCGTCCCTGGTAATGTTTCTGTCTTTCTTTTCTGGCCAATGAGTTAGGGTATAAGAATGTGGCCAGCTGATTCCCCTCCAGTTCCTATTATCAGCAACAGATATCTTTCTTGTAGGCTACCATTCATCTAAGCACTCAGTAAGAACAGTGATATGAGAGTGTAGCACATTTTACCTTGACAGACAAATGAAACTTTCTTCAGATTATGTTAGCAGTTATTCGCAATTTGTTGTTAATTCTAAATTCTTTGCTACTATTTTAAATAAAATTTTCTTCCTATAGCATGTTAAAAAGTAATAATTTTTCTTAAATTTTACATGAATGTTAGTTTTGGCAATCAATGTTGTGTATAGCAAGAAATTGTATGTATGCTATATATCATGTACAATGCTGGGAAATTATCTAGTCATTTAATATTGGCCAAAAATGTCCTAACTAGTACAAGGGAACCTTAGCCCCAGTCAAAGTACTCCATATGATATTTCTCATTCTTATCCTAGCATCCCTTTTACTTTTTCAAAATCATCTGTAAAGTCGTCTTTTGGGATTGCCATCAGCTACCTTGTAACATTCTCCTTCATCTTGTCTACACATTTTCAGTAGTGAATCATTTTTCTTTCTTTCTTTTTTTTTTTTTTTTTTTTTGTTCTTTATATCACATTACCCATGCCAGCCTCCCCACTACAGTACCATTGATGTGATGTGATGTTTTGCTAAATCCTCTGCATAAAATGGGAAGAATAGGCAAGTGTATTGTCATGATGAATGTGGTAGTTGTACAGTACAGAAACTCACTTATTGATGTCTCGCTGCTTAATGAGGCTTATTGCCATATCACACTGAAACACCAGCTCATCTGATTACCAAAGTTAAGCAACATCAAGTCTGGTCAGTACTTAGATGGTTGACTCTTTGGGAATACCAGGTGCTGTAAGCCTGGTTATGCAGGTAGTGGATAACAGCTTGGAATGAGAAATTGGGGAGCTGAGTTCCAATTCCAGTTGGGTTTGTTATATTCACTTGCCCACAAATACCCTTGGGAAAGGTATGAATCTATCTCTTCCCCTAACGATGGGTTAATTAGTAGGACTTGTATCAGTAAATCATTATCTCCCCCAAATTTTTACTATCTCCAAATGTTTACTGGCTTTAAATAACCTGCAAAAAACAAATCAATCACTGCTGACCAAGTAACTTTATGGTACAGGAAAGTCTTTTTACATTTTTTTGTTATATTAATAAACTCCTCTCTGATGAGCTGCCAAAATACATCAAGAATGTACAAATGGTAATTGAGATTCAAAATGGTGGCTAGATAAATTCAGGACAGACTGAAAATTTATATATATATATATATATATATATATATATATATATATATATATATATATATATATATATATATATATATATATATATTAGTAAATATGCACATACATATGCAAAATATATCAGGTGCATACACATACATGTATATTTTTTGAATAAAAATTCCAAGAGGAAAGAATCCAGGTAGTGTTTAAGCCTTTTTATTATATATATATATATATATATATACACACACACTCTCTCTCGTATACCCATGCTATCAAAATTGACAACAAGGAATGTATTATAAGTAACATGTACTACATTGTAAGTAATTTTTGTTTAATCCAAGTACAATTTTGTAATTTGAAATAGTCGTTAATGTTAATAATTGAACTGTGTACAATTTATAAACACCCCAGGAAAGATATCTGTATTTTATCCTCATAGCGTTTGGGTGTTTTTGAGTCAAATTTGCTGAGAAATTAGAACATCATGGCTAGTTGTAGTCGATCCCACAATCCAAGACATCTCAAAGAAAAGTAACTCAAGTGAAATTTCATTCAAGCTGAAATAAAGTATAAACCTTGGCCAATTTTTTTCTGACATATATTTATTTCTCTCTTCCTTCTCTCTCTCTTTCTCTCATTCTTTCTTTGCAGTTGTGTATCTGTTTCTTTTCATGGCTACATTCAGTCACTCCTTTTGCTTTGATCATAGTTTGCAGAGAGAGGGAAAGAAGTGGATTGCTTTGTAGTTTGTCAGTGGATGTGAATTGGGTCATGACTTCTGTGTCTCATGTCAAAATTTTGTACACTGCTCCTCAATTGTTACACACAAAAAACGTGTGTGTGTGGTGTGTTATATTTAAGGATATATATTAAAACATGTCTCGCTGAATAATTTGGACAAGTTTTATCCTTATGATCCTCTCAAAATTACTTTGTTGATACATATTCATTTATTCCGAGTACTTTTGATATTGGCACAATGTCATCATCACGGTGTTGTTTTTTACTAAGGCCAAAATTGTTGTGTTCATCTGAAAGTGTATTTTTTTTTTTTTTTATATACCTGTGAAGTGAAAAATGTTAAGGTTATGTACTGTACTATTTAAATTTCAATGTAAACGTCAGTTGGAGGTAATTATGAAATGTTTAAATTATTTAAAACTATTAGTTTAAAATATCTAGATTTTAACTATCTACTGTAAACATTTTAAAACATTTGTGCAGTATTCATAATTTTATTAAGAGTTGGTTTAAATTTTTTCATAGCGATAGCTTCAAGATATATTATATATATATTATATATATATATATATATATATATATATATATATATATACACACACATATGCAGTAACATGTTTCAACAAGCAATTTCCATGTTTTTGAAAGAACATGTCTTTCAAAAATCAGACTTAAAAGTCATTAAAAAAAAAAAAAAAAGCATCATTTTGGACAACTTACTAATGAATAGTGATTCCATATGTAGTATGTATATAACTTTTCATGTACCACTAGCAGCAACCACAGCAAAAATGGGTAGCACACATAACTAGAAGGGAGAAAAAAAAATTCTAAGTTTAAAAATGTAAAATTTCAGTGTTTGAACATCATCATTTCCTGTCTGTAAATAATTATAACACTTGGAATTATACATACATAGTAGTGGGGGGAGATATAAAAATCCATCAACAAAAACATTTAGTCGGATGTCCTTCAGAGGATGAAATGCATTATACAGAATTTTTTCCACTTTGTTATTCATTTGCCAACTACATTTTTTTATGTATGCTTTGCTAATAACTAAATTAGGTGTAAAGTACTTGCCTAAGGTTTAACAGTAACTGCCAACAATGATTAAACACAGCACTCTTTTTTTCCTTGGATTGTGAAGTCACATATGTTCTTAATAAATTTTAAAATTTTTTTGTTTTTTAAATCTTATTTTGTTTCTATTATTTCATCATCCACCTATTTCTGTGGGATTCCGAAGAATGCAATTTCTCAAAGAAATGTTTGACTATTTTTTTATTATTATTTCTATTTTTGCATCTTAGACACTTGGAAAGAATTCTGGTGAATAGTGATTTTTAATTCAGATGCACTTGTTTACACAGCAGAGCTACTGCTTGGAAACCCCTGAATATGATGTGAATAACAATAGTCTGGGTGTGATAACATCTTTACACCTGTTTTGTTTTCATCAATTAGTGGAAAGATACAGTGTAGCTGATGTGTTCATATGGGTTTTATTTTCTGATTAATCAAGAGTTATTTTTCCTTCATTTTCTCTTTTAAATTTATTACAGGCTAAAAGGAGTTCAGTATTGTTAATCATATACTTATGAGTGTTTTATATTTTGATTTAAAATCCTATAAAAGCAAGATTAGTTCAGTATATTTTGTTTGCAAACATAATGCCTGCTGTAGAACAGTAATTAACATATTAGTCTAATTTTTTTTTTAAACTGGTGTAAGGATAAAAGCAAGAAAAAATATTACGAACTCCATAAAAATATTCTGTTTTCAAATGTGTCAAGCACTTGTGGCATGATGACAGAACCTCATGAATATACAGATCATACGTTAAATTTTGGTCTAGATGTAACAAAGTAAATGAAAATGGGCATATGAGTTTGAATAATTCATAGAATAACTTATTTTGGGATCTGAATTTCTTCAGGTAATCTATTTTTTTTACTACTTTGCAAACGTTTTATGTATCGGTGTTTTTTCACTCTTTCAAATGTTTTATCAAATAGAGATCATAAAATTGCTCACAATTTTTTTAATAATTTGTAAGATCTCTTTGGGTTTAAATCTTTAAATATACATTCAGTAAATTGAGTATTTAGATATATTTATAGGTAGGTCATCCTCATGACTTTGTTTAGCAAAAAAAGATTTAAGTGGAGAGTCCACATCTGTTGCAGGATTGCTGATGTTTGACTAGATTTACATAGGATAAGAAAGTTTATTTTTTTGGTTGCTGCAGGAGAAGATCTCAAAACTAGTGAGTTTTGATTTTTCAGCCTTGTTTCTTTCCTTCTGTTATAGCACTGTGATTTGACATAGAAGACTTGTACTATATAGCATTGAAGTGAAGTGTTGTTGGTTAGTTTTAACATTCCTACTCTTTAAACTACAAGTTTACTTGCCATAATCCAGAAGAGTGTAGTAAAGTCTCTTGGTTGTAGGTTTTCAATTAGTTTCCTTTTCCTTGGCAGAAATCTGAACTGGATGTAGAGATCTCTACCCCTTAAAGACCAACTTAAGCAGTTTGAAAGTTCTAGGCTTGGAATTTCTACAGAATCCTAATTTGCATGGTTATAGGCATTAAATTTATTAACTTAATATAAGTTCTTACATTCATGAAAATAACCCATTTTACTCTTTTTCGCTATTTTAATGTCATTGTTAAAGATGGCAATTTATAATAGATAATGAATTTATTATTATCAACATCTGTGCTTCTGTATTGTTACATAACAGTGTTTTTTTTTTTTTTATATACAATGCTTAAATAACCACTTACTGATACTTAAATCGATCAACAAAAATATCTGTCAGGCACAGTTTAAAGAAAAAAACAAACTGAAAAATAAAAGGAAAAATTTGTTTAATATTATAATTAACCCTATATTTCAGAAATAATTATATGAAATGAGTGAAAAAACAAGGTTTAGAATTTTTCTTTAATATTTGATGGTTTTTATGTCTCATTTGACTACTTCAGAAATTAATTTTTGTTTTTTACATGTCAAGCTGTGCTTATCAGAACAAGTGAGCTAGTCTTACTCTGTTCATCACTTCCTTGAAGGTTGACAGATGTTACATCTAGACCGAAATGTAACACATGATCTGTACATTTGATAATTAAGTTTTGTATCAGGTGTTTACATCATCTGTAAATATTAGGTACAGTTTTATAATTATCTTTCAAATGAATAGTATTTTTAAAAAAAAATTTTAAACATTTATTTTGTCCTACCAATTTTATAGGAAGAAATTTTAAGATAAAAAAAAAAAACCTACAAAGTGAAAACAGTTTAATCCAAAGAACAACAATGAAAATGGAATACAAAAGTCTTGGGGAAATAAACGTTAAATTTTTTCTATTTTCATTTGTGGACCATTGTTTATGGCCATTCAAAAGTTTCCACTTGACAGATCTTAAGCAGAAAATAAAAATTTATCTAAATATCTACAGTATAATAAGTGTTACTAATAGAATAATTACAAGCTGACAATTTCTCTTTTCTGATTTTTGATATATTTCTATTGTAAAACTATGAGTAATATATTTACATTATATCTATATTAACCCTAATAAAATTATTATTGATTCTTGACCACTAACAATCCATTTTCAACGTCAATGCATTTCTGTAGCAAAACTATTTGTCATGCTTTCCTATAGTAAAATCATTAGCAATGCATCTGCATTATTACATATCCTATCAGTAATACTTGCACAAATTCCTGACCACTGACAATTCATTTTTTCATATTTTTCAATATACAGTATACAGATTGAATTCTGAAATTTCTTCAAGCAAATTTTAAAGTAAAATATTGCAAAATTAGATGCTTAATGATTAAACCTTTGTCTTCTACCGT